CATTGGTATTCGCCATTTGTACGGATCAAAAAGAAATTTTGATCAAAAACGTTTTTCATTGCGAAAACCCAGTTTTTCAGAAACCGGGGTCTCCAAATACGCGTTGGCAAAAACCATCGTCATATTCGGAATCAGCATGCTCTGTCCAAGTCGAGTCTGGCACATGCTTTCTGTGCATTTAAATGCAAAAATAGATCTAATTCAAACTAGGGAGAGAGTGATATACAACTATGCAGCTGCAGATTGGAATGTGTTGCGCAGTAACCGGTCGCTTGTTCCCTGGAACAGAATTTTGTGTAATTATCTTTCTATCAATGATAAAATATCCGCGTTTCAGGATATTATTTTCGAGCAAGTAAACAATTTTGTGCCGCATAAATTTGTTACAATAGAAGGCAGAGATAAAATCTGGTTTGACGATTCTCTAAGGAAATTGTTCAATAAAAAAAATAATGCATTCAAACAATTTAAACAGTCTTCAGCTGGGAGCGTGGCGAAAGAAAATAACCTTCGAAAATACCTGAATGCCGTTTCTGACTTTGAAATCTCATGCGCCACTGCAAAGAAAACATTTTATGAAAAAATATCCGACCGAGTTAATTCTTCTTCCAAAAAGTGGCGGGCTTTGGTGAAGCACACCTTAGGAAGACAAAAAACTTCGTCTGTTCCATCGCTGAAAAATGTGAATGGTGAACAAGTAAAAAATGCTCAAGAAAAAGCTGAAATGTTGAATGAGTATTTTTCGAATACCTGTTCCATGGAAAAAAAATTGTATGAAAGAAAGGTTCCAGTTTTTCCGAGTCGTACTAAAAAAGCCTTTGATAAGTGTTATGTCTCTGACCACCATGTTTTTAAAATTCTTTCATGCTTGAATATAAGTAAAGCTGGGGCTCCAGGCTTAAATAATCGTGTTCTTCGTGAGGTTGCTTCTGTTATTTCTTCTCCCTTAGCAAGTTTGCTAAATGAATCTTTTTCTTCTCGTATATTTCCAACGTGTTGGAAAGCAGGATATGCTAATGCGCTTTTTAAGAGCGCGGACGTGCACTAAATGTCAAATTATCGTCCTATAACACTATTACCTACGCTTTCGAAAGTCTGCGAGCTTCTAGTACATCACCAAGTCTATGAATATTTAACAAAGAATGATTTGCTTAGTTGTCATCAGTCAGGTTTTAGGAAGCGGGATAGTACAATCAATCAGCTGCATGAGATTATCCACTATATAAACAAAGGAGCGGATAACAATGGTTTCGTTCAAGGTGTTTTCTTAGATATAAGCAAAGCTTTTGATTCAGTTTGGCACCGTGGTATTAAGGGATCCATGTTGCGTTGGATCGAGTCGTATCTCTCTGGAAGGCATATTGTTACCGTTCTTTCAGGAGCAGTGTCATCTGAGAAGGTGGTAAATGCTGGAGTGCTTCAAGGTTCAGTCTTGTGACCACTCTTGTTTTTGTTATTTATCAATGACATCTCTGATAACTTGGAGAATCTTTGCAAGTTGTATGCTGATGACACTTGTTTATTTAGTAAAGGTTCTGACATTATGACCGCGACAAATCCTCTTAATAAAGGTCTGAAGCGCTTATCTGATTGATCTGATACCTGGCTACTTTCTTTGAATGTTAAAAAATGTAAAACTATTCTGTTTACTAAAAATCGTAGGCTTATATCGCTACCGATTGTTATGACTAACAGTCCTTTAGTTCAAGTCGATGAACATGTTCATCTTCGTATGATCCTCTCTATAGACTTGACCTGGACCAAACACATAAACAGACTTGTAGCTAAAGAAAATTCTATTCTCGTGCTGATGACACTGAGTAAGTGGTTATTGAATAGACGTGCACTTGACACTATACACAAATCGTTTGTTCTCTCTGCGTTAAATTATGGTGCAACATTATATTCTTTAACAACTATAACCCTCAAAAGCTTAATGGTGTACAAAAACGCGCAGCCAAACTTTAAATGGAAGTAGTGATATAAGAAAATGTTGGCGTATCAATGTTCTCCGTCGTTTGGAGGTAGCCTACACAAGATGCACAGTTCATCTTCCTCCACTAAAACAATGTTTAAACGAGAAAAATATTTTGAAAAGCGGTGATACTGATTTGTGTGCCTGCGGTAGAAGAGAAAGTTTGATCCATTACTTTTTTCATCGTTCGCGGTACAACACAGACAGGAAAGCTCTATTTGATTCAATTAATCATTTAGGTGCAGTAACATTAGATCTTTTGCTATTAGCAAAATCTTTAAGTCTGAATGAAATGAAAGAAATTCCTGATGATGTTGTCTGTTTTATTGATTAAACAAGACGATTTTAAACGGTAGTCTACCTGCCTAAGCAAAAGTTAAAAGAAAAAATAGTTTTGATCTTTTCTCTCCTCCTACACCTACAGCTTATACTGATTTCTAAACAAGGTTCATGCGAAACTGATGTTTCTTATATTTCTGTTCGTTTTCTCTCTTCGTTTTTAGTTTTTCACTTTTGTTGTTGCTTATATTCTGCTTTTCATTTATACAAAATAATGGTCACTATCATGAGTGCTTCCCCACTCGCTTGTGATCGTTACTAGTTATTTCTTATTCTAAATAAAAACAGTTTAAACTAACTAAACTACCACTCATTATTAAAAATAGTCTGATCAATATAAAAACAAAATTCGTTAGGTGCTTTCTATACGTGTTGGTAAACGGGGAAGAAGCTCAAGTTGGCTGTCCTACTCATAATAACACACGAGTTTTCGATAATATGATTAGTCGTCCAATACACTTTTAGGTAAGATGAGTAAGTTAAATAACTTGCGTATTTCTCGTTCTGAGTTCATTTAATGTGTTCATATGCGTTGGAAGTTGATGCATGTGAACAGAATAACATTTCTCAAAAACGGAAATCATACCCGCATTCTATAGCATTTTTAACTTTACAGAGTCTTCCGAACACGTGAGCCTTCTGTTTATATGGCCATACTTGAACGCATTAACATTCGTTAGAACTTGATGCGTTTTTGTGAATGAAATAATTTTCATGTGCTTTAATGTATAAAAACTTTTTAACGTATTTAAATGCGTTAAAACTGCTTAATTCATGCAAATTCCATAAATCTTAACGAACTGAAACCTATTGAGAAATTGCAAGAGTTTATCTGATGTTAAAAGTCAGAAATTATCCAAACGTTTTCATCAATTTAATTTCAATATGCATTGGGTAGTTACCGAAACCTCACAACGACGAAGGTCAGTCTATTTATCAATCTCACAGGCCTCTTGTTGTTATATCTTCTGCCAAAGTAAGATGAAGATTTTTTCTGACTCACCTGTTGCACTCTCTCTCTCACACATACATGCACGTTGCTTTCAAAAAATTTATTCGTATTGACTCGTGGCTGAAGAGAACAATACACTCCTCTCTCGCTACAACGCCGTTGCAATTGAAACAGAACGAGAAAAAGTCCCTAAGTAAAAAGAAAAAGGCGAAGAATATATTGACAAAAGTACCCTAGAAAAAAACAGAACAGAACGAGAAAAAAGCAATTCGTTAATCCTACAAAAAAACTTCAATGAAGCATCGTAAAAAAATATGACTGACATGGGGGATGCCCACCGGTGTACATGTGTCACTAGCATCGCCAAAGGTAGGTGTGCACCGGCGATGCCAGATGTGGGCCGAAAAAATATTCGATATATATATAGTAATACTGCAAGTATACTATGGTGTTTATATACACGAACAATAACAAAGCAAAACAGTGATTGAAAAAGAAACTTAGCGTTGATGTGCATCGGTGCGAGACGAAATTTTTTGAGAGAGGAATGTATTGTTCTCTTCAGCCACGAGTCAATACGAATAGATTTTTTGAAAGCAACGTGCATGTATGTGTGAGAGAGAGAGTGCAACAGGTGAGTCAGAAAAAATCTTCATCTTACTTTGGCAGAAGATACAACAACAAGAGGCCTGTGAGATTGATAAATAGACTGACCTTCGTCGTTGTGAGGTTTCGGTAACTACCCAATGCATATTGAAATTAAATTGATGAAAACGTTTGGATAATTTCTGACTTTTAACATCAGATAAACTCTTGCAATTTCTCAATAGGTTTCAGTTCGTTAAGATTTATGGAATTTGCATGAATTAAGCAGTTTTAACGCATTTAAATACGTTAAAAAGTTTTTATACATTAAAGCACATGAAAATTATTTCATTCACAAAAACGCATCAAGTTCTAACGAATGTTAATGCGTTCAAGTATGGCCATATAAACAGAAGGCTCACGTGTTCGGAAGAGTCTCATCATTGGTCATTATTGGTTTTCTGCCCTAGGGCAGGCTTCAGGCATATAATTTCTCCAATATAATCGATCTTGAGCATATCCTTTCATCACTTTGTAGGCATTTATGTCTCCTTCTTTCAAATCATCAAGCATCATTTTTCTTTTTCTTCCTTGTGGCCGCTTTCCTTCGATTCAACTTTCTATTACATCCAATAAAAGACCATTTCCTTAGTCGTTAGAATGTGACCAATCCACATTTTCTTTCTTCTTTTTATCATTCCAAGCAATTTTCTCTTTTCTCCCACTTGTACCAGAATTTGATCATTTATTCTCTTATCTTTCCAACTTATCTTTTTCATTTTTCTCCATATCCACATCTCAAAAGCTTGCAATCGTTTCATCTCGTCTGCCATTATCGTCCAAGTCTCAGAGCCATGAAGTGCTACACTCCACACCACCGCTTTAATAACCTTTTAAGTCAACTTTCTGTCCATTCTTCGTGTGAGTAGTTCTCCACGTTTATTGAAAGCGTCTTTTGCCATTGCAATCCTGGCTCTTATCTCAGCAGCACATCTTCCATCTTCAGTAATTAAGGCTCCCAGATATCTGAAGATTGTCACTTGCTCTAATGTCTGTCCATTAATAATAATGTTAACTAATTTACCACCTCGTCTTGAAATTACCATTGTCTTCGCCTTCTTAACATTAATCTTCATGTCAAACTTCTCACTAGATTTTAACAAGCGAGTCCATCAACTTCTGCAGATCTTCTTCTGAGCTGGCTACCATTGCTTGGTCATCTGCAAACCTTACGTCTTTCAGTAGTTCACCTCCAGCTTTGATTCCTGTACTGACATCTTCCATCGCTTCTATCATCATCATTTCAGCGTAGATTGAAAATAGTAACGGCGAAAGCAGGCAGCCTTGTCTTACTCCACGCCCAATTACTGCCGGTTCTGACATTCCGTCTGCCACACTTACAATAGCTTCTTGATTTAGATACAAATTCTTGATGAGTCTTCGATCTTTCCAATCAACTCTAATCTTCTTCAATATTTCCATCAGTTTCTTCCAGTTTACTCTATCAAAGACTTTCTCAAAGTCCACGAAACATATTAAAACATCCAAGCCGTGTTCCAAGCATCTCTCGTAGAGCATTCGCATGACGCCGATTGCCTCTTTCGTTCCGCATCCTCTTGTGAAACCAGACTGTGTTTTACCAATGAAATATTGAGTTTTGGCTTAGAATCTTTTTGCCAGCACTTTCAGCATTATCTTCGAAGCATGCAGAATCAGACTAAGCGTTCTGTGATCAGCACATTCTGTTGCATTGGGCTTTTTCTCCATCGTGACAATTATTGCTTTGGTGAAATCTCTTGGCCATTCTCTTTTTTCGGAAGAGTCTGTAAAGTTAAAAATGCTATGGAATGCGGGTATGATTTCCGTTTTTGAGAAATGTTAATCTGTTCACATGCATGAATTTCCAACGCATATGAACACATTAAATGAACTCAGAACGAGAAATACGCAAGTTATTTAACTTACTCATCTTACCTAAAAGTGTATTGGACGACTAATCATATTATCGAAACCTTGTGTGTTATTATGAGTAGGACAGCCAACTTGAGCTTCTTCCCCGTTTACCAACACGTATAGAAAGCACCTAACGAATTTTGTTTTTATATTGATCAGACTATTTTTAATAATGAATGGTAGTCTAGTTAACCAATTTCTTTTGAGTAAATGTACTCTTGATCACCAAATTTGTCAGCATGAATCGCACATTTTTATTTCTCAACAAAGTATAACGTACAACACAAACATATTCATTGAAATATTAACCAAATGACCAATATTTTTACAGTTTTATTTATATCACCTACAAATTTGAAGCTGTGCTCGCTTTCTTGAAACGCTTTTTTGCTTTTCATTTGCCTAATGGTTGAATACGTGTTTTATCACTAACTTGATACAAGTTAAATAAAATGACTAATTCAGCAGAGTGTTTACACGAATATACTTTCATAAGTATAATCACTTCAATGGTACAACAAACCAAGAGGATTACTGTCATACCAGATAATCATTGAATGTGTCATTGGCTAAATATTCGTCGTTCTCGTCAGTGGCTTACATTCAATGATTTTCTGGTGTCGCAACTATCTATTGGATTAGCAATTTTATTTAACTTGTATCAAGTTAGCGATAAAACATGTATTCAACCACTACGCAAATGAAAAGCAAAAGGGTGTCTCAAGAAAGTTAGCCCAGCTTTGAATTTATAAGCAGATATAAATAAAACTGTAAAAATATTGTTTATTTGGTTAAAGTTTCAATGAATATATTCGTGTTGTATATTATACTTTGTCGAGAAATAAAAACGTGAGATTCATGCTGGAAAATTTGGTGATCAAAAAACCTGATACCCATTCTTTTTAGAAAGGATCGTCTTGCGCATAAGCCATCAAACAAGTGAAACATCGTGCAATGTCTTTTGGTACGAAACGTTTTCTTGGAATGCGTTAAATCGCCATTTGGTGCCTTTAATACGCTTGAGTACACTAAATGCATGAAAAACATTTTTATACCTTCGCATGTCTTAAAAGTTGCATTTAGAAGATTTTAGTTTTTTGATTTCATAATTCGGTGGCCGTTTTGCTGGAAAAGTCATTAAAAATTCAAGACCAGACGAATCCGGCAGCTTGGGCTCAAACGAAGTTGGGCGATTTTGTTCCTACCTGTGATACATCGAGCAAAAGTAGTTTCATTTAAAAACCTTTTCAACAACTCCGAACGTTTCCTCGTTTAGTGATCTCATCACATGAGTCGAAAAATAAAGCTGCATTCGACTATATTTTGAAGCGTGCAATATTTCTTCAATAGAATTCTTTGTCCAAGGAGCAAAGTGGACCCATTGAAATTAAAACGACCGTTTCCATGATTGGAAGAAGATAGAAAGAGATCAAGAGGGGAACAGATGGACTCCGGAGATTGATATAGCTAAGCAACACATTAGTCGAAGAATAAATAGTTTGCTCGTTGTCTACGGTTAAGTTTAGAATTTAGCGACAGTCCTTGTCAAAAAAAATAGTGATGCATACACGGTGAATGAGAAAAAACGGTTCATTCCCAAATTCCGCACACTTTCACCCCTGAGGGGTTCGGGAAGTAACGGAAAAATAATATTTCTTAGATTAACTTGAAAAAGGATCAACAAACTTGTAACTTGTTAACTTAAGCTAATTTTTTGTTTCTTTCGATGGTCTGGTCCTTCTCCTTCTTTTTGTGAATCGTGACTTCGTAAATGAGACTACTTTTTTTTATGCTTATTAATTAGATTTAAAAAGTGGTCTCAATTTGGAAGTGAAAATTTTATGGTCGTAAAAGCGGTCTCAATTCGAAATGCACATATTCTCTCGGTTCTTACAGAAATAAAATGTGGTCTCAATTTGGAATAGAGAGTTTGTTCTGTTCACATACTCTGTACACCGTTTATAATTTACAATCACTCTTTAATTAAGAATGATTGGCTATTGTAGACACATAAACTGGTTGAAATACACAATATATCGTAACAATCATGTTTTAGGTTCATACTCATCATCTTTAAAATTAAAATTATTATCTAACAGAACTGTATAACGGCAACTTAATGATTGTAATGTTGTTTGATCAATATCTAAATCCAAGCTTCCTTTGACATAATTCTTCTTTGCTTCGGTTAATCGGAGATCATTATTCACAACTCTTCTGTCTCTTGTTATTAAACACGAACAAGATTTACGAGTACGGATCCATCTTTTAGTTCCATTTTTATATGAGCGTTTTAAACGATATAAGTAACTTTTATATAATATACCGTATATTATATAAAAGTTACTTATATTCAGACAGAATGGTATATTATATTCCATCCTGTCTGAATATCATGATCCGAAGAGAAAACCGCAAAGTCATAGTAGTTCAGAAAATTCTCTGAAAGTTCATCTGAAATTTTCATCGAAACCAAAGTTTTCATGTGTTGAGTAGCGATATTGGCAGCCTTATAACTCAAAAATTGAACAATACTTTTTTTCTAAAAACGATTGGACGTAGAGTACAACTCGTGTTTTAGAAAGTAATGTGAAAGGTAGAAACCATCACCGTTTAGTTAATTTTATGTTTAGTTAATTCGCCAGAATGACAGCTTATGACACAAATTGAAGTGGACACTATTTTTCATGGGCATAGAATAATTGATTGACCATATAAAAGTACAAGTAACGCTCATTTTCGATTCACTAACCCTTGAATGAAAGATCCTGGCGCTAACAAACCCGACATGCACGGTGCACGAAATTCACACCTTACAGAAAATGATTTTTGTTTTCTTCGGTATGGCTGAATAAAACTAATCGAGTTATCTACTTAAAGCTGATTTTGATATGTCTGGAGGTCATTTGCGTGTGAAAAACTTTTGATTTTTCGAAAAAATAGTCCAAAATGAGGAAAATATTAGTATTACTACTTCTGACAATTAACAACTAGTTTACTCTGGCTCCCCTCGGAAAGTATAAAAAGCTAATTCTGGAATCTGAGAAACAAATATGCCCTCAAAATGCGCAAAAACGAGCCAGCCAGAACAAGGCGAGAATAGGCGTTAACACTAATCATTCTGATCAACGTCAACGAATAAATCACTGGCAACAGTTTCTGCATTTCTTCATTTCGTTCCGAACTGTAGAACGACCTGCTCTGAAACGATCTTCAAAACAAACAATAAACAAGCCGGTATCTCGAAAACGCAGGGATACAGTCCGTTCCAAACAAACCTAACACCAAGAACAACGACGAAAAGCATAGGTGCGGCAACCTCACCAAAACTTCCGTAAACCATAAACGCAAGCGATATGAAACCGCAAAGGCCATCATTGCAGCCGCACAAAACCACAAACACACCACTGCTGAAAATACACCTACGAAAAATGACACGTACGCCCGATACCAGGTGTCGCACACATACAGCCACCTCCACCAAAACTTCTGACATTTTTGGTTCGAAAGCCAGATTTGTCAGATCCTTGCTTCACGGTAAAAAGAGCTAATTATCAAAATTAGCGTTTTTCTCGCTAATTAACGAAACTGATGCCAGCAGATAAAATATGTGAAATTTGATTTCTGACATTTTTTATTGCGGGCTAGCAGATCTAGGATGTCTTGCTGCTGAGAAAAGTAGTAATTACGTGTTTTTCCTTCTCGAATGTGAATATCTGGCTAATTTACGTTTAAGTAGCATCAGGTGTGACTACTCTACCGCGGACGGCCCGTCGGACATTTCGTTTGTATGACCCAAGACTTTCAGTCAAGGGAGTAAAATTTGTTCTTTTCTCGTTTCCTTGCTTTCTATGTTCACTTCTATATAAGCGAAGAAGGAAGATCAAAAGATCAAAAGGATGGTTTTCTTTGAAGCTGGAAGGTGAATTGAGTTGAACTATAGTGTAGGGAAGTGTAAAATCTGGATCCGGAGATGCTGAGTAAAAAGCACGGTTGCCTTAGTGAGATCTTCTCAACGCACAACGTAATCGACAATTCCTAATAATGCCGTCTCCTATTTCTGTCCTATTTAAACATTTTTATGCATGTAGTATAAAATTTATAAAATAATGGTAAACTTGCATATGTTGTTCATTCCTTTTCGTTCCACAGTATAATTCAGCAGCATCATAAGTCTATTCTATCATTAGTCTATGTAATACCGGAACAAACCCACTATGACAACGGTGGGAAAAAATTATTCTTACTAATTGTTTAAAACCATATTAGCAAGTGATAAGGCCCAGGAGAATATATATATATATATTACGTATAATTCATCAGCACAGTTAAAGTGTTATATATAAGAGCTGATAACGAGTAATCTATAGGAGAAAACAGGATAAAATAGAGAACAGATAGATTTCATATATTTTTTCTCTTATACAAACATCACAGAAGGCTTTACATTCTTCTACGCTTGCTTCGAATGATTCGATTGTGTCGGTCGTCATTTTGACGGCTTCCCTTATCGAAGAAAAGAAGCAATTTGTGTAATGCACACAAACACGTTAAAATTTCTTGTGTTACACGAATTCAAAATTTTAATACATCAAAATGCCTTTACATCTATCAGTTATTGGTTTCATCAG